TGCTTCTTAAAACAACTTTCTAGTACAAAAAAGCCTTCTCAAACGAAGCCTAACATGTAATAAATTATATATGAACTTTTTTGTTCATATTTCAAAGTAATACAGAGAAATATTACATCCGTTAATTTTAAAAATATCGAATATTAACATTTCTACTTGCTCTCTAAAACTAGAGAGATAACCCTAATATAAAAAGTTCATAGAATATTTAAAGCGTAGAATTTTGAACCAATGATATTAGAAAATTCATCAAATGAATATAAATTCATTTTTTTTCTAAAGTAACTGCCAAGCAACCGTCACGCCTCACAAAAAGAATGGACGATTAAAATGTGTAGAAATTAAAGAGTGTATTATATAGTCTGATACAAATATCAGCATGAAATAAATGAATTACCTCTTTCTTCTATAAAATTAGATTTCAAAATTAGTTCTTTAAATATTCTCTACATGTGAATGCTAATGAATTTAGTGATATTTTACTACTATGCCTTAATGTTGAAGATTTACTCTTCACAAGCAATAACTCTAAATGATAAAAGAATTTTAGTGGTATATGATGAATAAATTAGAAATTTCTAATATTTTCTTAATGGCATGCTCCAGAGGCAGAGGAGAAATCAAAGAAGCGACAAAAGAACCAAACAAATATATATATATATATATATTCAAACTCTTTTTTTTTTATTATCTATGATATCATTTAAAAAATAATACTAATAAATCCGCATATTTAATTTTCATATCATAATAATTAAACAGACTTTATCATATCATATTAATTAAACCGACTTTACAACTTCAATCGGTTGAGAAATTGACCGTTTCGAATTTTAATCTGATCTTAAATCTGACCATTAAACTTTTTTTTTTATTCCACACGTAATAATTTCTCATGAATGAAAGACTAAACGCCAATGAAAAACAACCATTAATTCTAGCGAGATCTCTAAATCAATCTACGTCAAATTCGTATGTGGGTTGAATCATAAATCGTCAGAACAAATGGGTGACATTGTGTGCTCTGATTAGTCTCCCGACGGCATCAGTATCGGCACAAAATAATTTTTTCTTTTTTAAGTATGTTGTCTGTTATTTTTTTTTTTTAATGTAGATGACTATCAAATTCATGATATATTTATATTTATATTTTTAAAGATTGATAGCTACTAATTATAAGATTTATTTACATTAAATTTTTAAAAATAAGGATTAAGAAATATATAATTAAGATTCAATCTCACTTAACTCTTCATGGCTAGCACTTCATTTATGAAAATTGAAGAAATAAAGAGCTACATGCATCACACAATCATGAGCAAATTCAGAAGAAGCAGAAGAGAGAAGTGAAAATACTGAAGCTTTCTTAGGGGAAAGATTAGTGAGAAGGAGAAGCACCATCAACATCATCTTATTCTTCAAGTTCATCTCCATCTTGATAGCAGGTGATTATGTTCCTTCCTAATTAATCTTTAACAAAAAATAAAAAGTGATAACTTTATGTTTATTTTTATGAAATATAATTTCTCTCTATTTTTAGTTTCAAAACTTAGGAAAGTATATCAGTGTTTTAAAAAAAAAAATTATGTAAACTTATATTCTGGGAGTCTCTGGTTATCTCGTCTCTTTGCTGGTCTTGATCCTGAGCTGGGTTGTTTTTGGCTTCTTTATGTGTTTTCTGACTTTTCCTCCTTTGGTTTGTATTTTGTTGTATTAGTTGGATCATTGACTCATTATGTTTTGTTTTTAATGTTGTATTTTTATAGAGCTCTTGTTCTTTTTTTTTTTATTATTATTAAGGCGCGCGTAGGCTCCTCCTTTGGTTTTAATAAAAAAAAAAATAATGTAAACTTGTATGAGTGTATCTTGCATTTGCCATCCTTGATGTATTGATTAATTCCCTCTTCTTCTTTTAATTTTGTTACCCTAATTGCAGGGGCGGACCCCCTCGAGCTTAGCGGCAGTAATTGGAACAATTATTACGTCATCCGACCGGACAAAGAGGAATGTCCGGTCGGAGGCCAAATCGCGCAAAAAATGAGAAATACCGAGCAATACCAGACAATAACGAGGAATATCATCACGTGAAGACCCAATACCGAGTTATATCGAGCAATACCGAGTTATACAAAAGTTACGTTGTACCGAGTTTTTCCTAGAAAAAACTCGGTATTGCTCGGTATAGCTCGGTAATGGTCTTCACAGACCGGTATTCCTCGTTATTATCAAATAATACATAGCAATACCGAGCAAATACCAAGTTTTTTGGCTGGATTTTGCCTCCGACCGGACGTTCCTCTACGTCCTTACACCGGACCTAATAAAAGTTCCAATAATTGGCCCCTGTAAAAAATAAATTTTTTATTATATGATTGTTTAGGTAATTTGACCAACTCCATCTAATGTTTAGTCTTTATTACAATAGTTTTTATGTTATTTACTTTTGGTAGTTAAAAGATATCTTGAGCGACTGTTTTCTTTTGTCTTTATATTTTATTGTTATTGACTCATTTTCTTGTAAAGATGGGTCTTAGAGGCAACACCAAACAAAAGTTGGTTGTGCCGCTGCCTAATTATTTTATTTTAGGAGATAAGTTCATAGGAATTGAATTTTTTTTTTTTTTTCAGGTTATAGTTTCTTTTCCAAGCTCACTTGCTTTGCCACATTCCCATTCAATACTGGAATCTTTCCTCATCTTTCTTATTTGCTTTTGTTTTTATTGTTATTTGAGCGAAATTATTTATTTAGATTTTTTTATAGAAGAAGCCCTCATTTCTCACAATTTCAAACCTTAGTGAAAAATAGAATGATTCCATTGTTCTTTCTGCAAAATTTATGCTTCATAAAATTAAGATGTAAATTGTAAACCAATTCTGCAATTTTGTTCATTGTAAAGGGCCCATTTGAATTTTTTTCTATTAAAATGGGTTTTTTCCCTATTACTTTTTTAAGAATATATATTTTTAGACTAGCTATCAAAAGGATTAATTTCCCAATAATAATTTTACAAGTAGAATATTATTTTTCAAATTTATTGTATTTTGCACTTTGATCCTAAAATATATTGAAGCATTATTTATTTTTAGTTTTTGATATCATAATTCATAACTTTATTTTTTAATTAAAAAAAAGTAAATAAGATTTTTACAAATTTAAATGTCATTAAATAGAAATAAATGTGCACTAACCTTTTATGTCATAAAGACTGAAACTATTAAATTATCGTCTACTTTAGCTTTTACAAAATTGTCCAAAATTCCAAATTAAATTTTCACACTAAATAGTAAATTTTCCCCCCAACAAAACATTAAATATTAAATAGTAAGGGAGTTTATTCCATAACTGACGCAAGATACTTTCCTTGATCTTCAAGGCTTCCCAGATCAATTGCCCTGGAGTTGCCTCACCACGTGTGCTGCATCCGCATAATCTCAGCCGTTCATCGCATCCATTATCTTTCGTTACGCGAGCTCAGCAGCGGAGAACCACTGTAGAGCGCGTGCATCTTAAAGTTTTTCTTTTTCCATAGCCTAAGTTATTTCATCGCCACAAATACTCTATGCTATTTGGGATCCTCTCCAAAAATGGCAATTCGATACCGAAATTTTATTGCTCCGCCAGCTCACTTTATTCTAATAGTAAGAATTTAGAAATCAGTAAAAAAGTAAATTTGAGGGTTATATATGCAATTAATAAATTTACGATTTAATCAAAAAATTAAAAAAAAAATCTAATATATCTTATTTGACTTAATAATTGGGCGCTTTGTCGTTAATTATAAGATTTTAGATTGAAACATAGCTAACATATATGGGTATATCATATATGAGATTGCAACTAATTTCGTTCAAAATTTATAAAAATGAAAGATTTACATATATACCATACAATATTTACTTATTTATATATATAATATATAAATTTTAATATTTATTTATTTAATAATTTAATATCTGGATCATATAAAACTATATAAATTTAAAAAATATGTTCCATTTAACAAGCTAATGATAATTTAAATATAATTTGAGTTCTATAAAAAAATATTAAAGTTTACATGCTGGATATATTATTATATAAAAATTATATATGTGATATAAATATAAATTCCTCTAAAAAATCATCCTTATGTAGTCATTTATTTATTTTAAATAATTGAGATTAAATAAATAAAAATGTATACAATAATAATAACATCAATTCTTTATCTTACTATGATTACATGCTTTTTTTTAAATTGTGTAATGTTAAAAGTCATTTCTAATATTTCTTAACTTAGCCAAATCTTCAACATTTATTTTTCTAATTGGGTCATCGAAAGTATAAATTATATTGTGCGGATACGGACATTATTAGGAGACGAATTAGAACACTCCACGTCACACTTTTTTTACTGTGTACCGCGGCTGTGTACCAGGTGACATGTAGCATTATACTTCGCCTCCAAACCGTCCGGTAACCACACAAAATAATTTTATATGAAGCATTTTTCCATCATATGATCTTCATTTTATATGACCAATTATCTAATACGATTTTCTCTAATCTTATCTTATATGTGCTCATTTTGTATCATATCTCTAATAATAAAATCACTCATTCATCTAACTAAATTTAATATTATGTATTTTTTATTATCAATATTTTACACTAATAAAATATTATAGATCTCATTATCATTTTATAAAATATAAAATTTTGATTTAAGAAGAATTTTGTGGTAGGACGAAGTAATTATGATATCTGACAAGTAGAACGTTGCTCTGTATCGACGGCTTCGTTCGTGGGAAGTGGAAGCTGTAGCGGTGTAGCCTTTAAGGCTGTAAGAAAGGCAGGCGGTTATACTAATCAGCTTTTCCGTCTTCGTCTATTTCTGGTAAAAATAATTAAAAATAATGAACAAAATAATAAAATCCTCAACGGCTACAAAAGAAAACCGCCCTAAGAGCCGCCATCATGTTGCATCCATTTCCATATACTCCGGTTTTCAAAATTTGAACTTCTTTCCTCTCCAGCTATGCGCTGTTCTTCTACGGCGATCAGGCGGCGAGAAAGCGATGGAGACTCCGATGCGGCCAATACCGTCCACCATACTCTCCGTCTCTTTCGCGCAGTCTGCCGCCATCTCTCTCTCCGTGCAGATCCATGCCTGGCGGCGATCGCCCCAATCCGCCGAGTGGACCTCAAGGCTGCCGAGATCTTAAAGGCCAACGGCCGGTTGCCAGTCCACCCACCACCAGCGCTCCTCGGCGCCGTACCAGGAGTCGAGGTTGGAGACGAGTTCATCTATCGCATTGAACTCGCCATAGTCCGCCTCCACCGCCCTCCGGAGAATGGTATTGACTACGATACCGTCACCGGTCTCGCCACCAGCATCGTGGTCTCCGACAGGTTCTTGGATAGCTGGAACGTGTCGGATGGATTGCTTTCGTATATCGGCATGGGAGGGTTTGGTGGGAGAAAGGTGGAGCCGAAGGATCAGAAAATGGAGAAAGGGAATCTGGCGCTGAAGAGAAGCATGGATGCGAAGAAGCCGGTGAGAGTAATATACGGCATTAGAGATTTCAAGCGGAATACGGCGTCGGTGTTTTTCTATGATGGGTTGTATATTGTTGAGGAGTGCAAGAAGGTGATTGGCAGTAATGATTGCTTTTTGTTTGAGTTTCAGTTGCGGAGAATGGAAGGGCAGCGGCGTTGTGATAAGTGGGAGACTCTGTTTGAGTGAGTTTTTTTTTTTTCTTTATAATATCGCGATTTTTGTTTTTGTTTTTGAGGTTTATAGTCGGTTGATTTGTGAATGGAATTGTGATGTTTCTGAATTCCAGGAAGAAGAAGGTTTGGGGATGGAAGCAGCTCCGATCTGCCTGTGATTCCGGGAAGAAGGTTTTAGCGAAGTAGCTTTGGTGCTTAGGAAAGTTTTAATTAGTAACTAATTACCTTTTTTTTTAAATTTACATACATAAACCTAAACTAATTTGAATTTCCTATATAATAACTAAACTTACTATTTACTCATGTAATATTTAAAATTTTAACTAACAATAGAAATACTACTTTTCCTAACTTATGGTAAGAAAAGGGAGTTCTAGGTCATTTCTTCGTCGCCTACCTTGGCCTCCATTGATCTTTTCGCACGCCATTGGTCTCATCACCACCTTCATACACTATCGATGCTCTTTTCTACGAGAAATTATTCCGTGCTGATCCACTATGTGCAAATAGTGTGCACATAATTTGAATCAAACTGTGTACATATATTGTACTCATTGAACACATTGTGTACACTCATGGTCAAGACGGAAACCTCCAGCCCCGACTTCGCACGAAATAATTTCTCCTTCTCTACGAGATCTTAGTTTTCTTGTCGTACACAACTTCCTCAAATTTTCATCATTGAACTTGGCACGTCATTGGTATCATTGATAATAGCGACCTCTCGTCGCGTGTCATTGGTATCATCGTTGCATCTGTCACACTTGTTCGTCCCGGATTTAGGGGATAGAAGAAGTGATATTTTTGTTATTATTTGAAATTTGAAATTTTACATGAGTAAATAGTAAATTTTAGTTGTTATATATTAAAAAAAATTAGTTTCAAGTGTTTTTTTTTTTTTTTTTTGAAGCAGCAGATGTTTATATGTTTGCAGGTAGAGAGATAGTCGCCTAAGTTTTGAACACGAAATTTATGTTATACTATGTCACTTTACATGATTTCCTTTATGAGTTGATTACATAATCGCATAGTGTTGATTTATAGTTAGTTTAAAATATTAGGAAATTAATTTTGTAAATTTGATTTTTTTTTCTTGAAAAAAAAAATAATTGCCAACAAAACTTTAGAAACTTATTAAAATTTGTGGGACCCAATTAGGGTTGTGATTCAGAAAAGCTGACTAAAGCGGGCTCATAGGCAAATTAGATGAGCTAGGGCTCATAGGCAAATTAGATGAGCTAATTTAGGCTTAGTTTAGGACAGCTTTTTTGTTGCTTCTTAAAATGATTTTTTTATTGTTTTAAAATCATTGTTTTAAAAAGAAGTAAAAAAAATTGTCCCAAATGAAGCTTTAATTAATATTTTAAGTAATCAATTTTATTAATCTGGTTATTTTAGTAATCAAATTTTTTTGCTTATTTATAAACATATTTAAATTTATAAAATTGAGCTCTTATTCGAGATTTAAATAGGCAAGCTCTTTTATAAATATTTGTATTTCACTTAAAAAACATTTATGGCATAATGATGATAGTAATTAGTACGTCCTCTTCAATTAAATGTAGAGAATTACGTTGATTGTTATTTAATATTTGTTGCTGCTTATGCTATTTAATATTTGTTGCTGCTTATGCATTAATGTCGCTTATGGCGGGCCATTGCAATAATATAAGTTCGAAAGCGTTCAAAATGAACCAACTAAGTCAAATAAATTCGCATATAAATATTTTTTTAATTCATATTCCTCGTATAAATTTTCTCATTTCATGTGCATTTGCCCAAGTTTATGCACAAAAAATCTTAAAATTTTAAATGTTTTTTAGATTTTTTTAGAGTGAAGCATCATTCTTTGAAATTTAACTTGGATTTAAAATTGAATTAATTTTGAGTGCTAAACAAAGCCTTACATGAGGTTCTGGTTAGGTATCCATTGGGTAACCACTCTTTGGCCCATCCATGATGACTTTTGGGATGTCGTACCCACCCACTTTTCATACTTTTGGAACACAGTTTTCCATGGACTGATTACATTGAGGCTTGTTGTCCTTTTTTTTTTATTGCAAACTTTTAAAACGCATATTAGAATTTATCATGATCGCAACGGTTTAGTGTTGCACATTGTGTAGTGATGATTGCAGTAATATAAGACATACAATGATAAACAATATAAATTGGTTTACCCCCAAATGTTAAATACCCACCAATGAGGCCGTGAGTGTATCCAAACCCATTGGGTATGGGTGGGTGTGGGTACCAAATGCAGGGCTCTTATGCTAAATTTTGTATGGTTTAAGCCGAGGTGATTGATGTCATGACAATTTATATACTAATAAATTGGCAAATTTTGAGCTTGTTTGATCAGCAAATTAATTGCAACAATAGGAAACAAATTGAATTAATGTGATTCGTTGGGGATGACTCGCATTCTTTTATCTTTTTTGTGTCATATGAGTCCCATCTCATCCATGGGATGCAATATCGGCAGAGAATGATTACTTGTTACCTCATCATGGCCTTCAATCGCTCTAAATTTGTCTTATATATAGTTTTTTTAATCATAGTTAAAATTCTTGTAACATTTCAGACATTTAGGTTTAAAATGCATTAGATGTTTGTGGCATAGATTATTCTCAAGTAGACAATGATTTCTAAAATTGTTTCAACCAACCTGGTCGCTCAAATTATGATAAACGAACGATGGCTTGTCATTATTAGAGTCAACATCACCTACAACTACCATACGACCACCATTGCAAAATAATCGTTAGGACTCGGGCAATCTCTCTAGTGAGACCAAGCTCGAATGATTTTATTAGGTCGGCTTAAGGGCAAGATTATTCAACCAACTTTCTAATTATGCAATGTTAGATCTGGAACATTTGATCCTTGCAATTCTATCGGGTTACCCTAAAAACATAATCATTATATCACTTTCCCTATTGGAGAAAACGTGATATGTACTTTATTGATGCCATCATGATATTAATGATTATGGTTAAATTATTGACTATAGTGCCTCTCCTAATATATAGAAAATTCATCAATTTAATTCCTTCAAAACATTTGAAACAAATGTAAAATCAAGGTAGAGCCCTTTGATCATATGGATTTTTAGAGCTCGAAATATTGTCTGGCTAACCCACTAGTCAATCTTAATGTTCTCAAATCCAACCTACTTCATCATTTTTTAGGTCACCCAATTTCATCTTCTTTAAAGAGAGAGAGAGATTATCCTAATCATATTTAGCAAAAATAACCAGCTAGAAGCCAACCAATTTGCCATGTTCTAAGAAAGGAATTGCTTTGGCTAATTCTAAATCACCTAATTTTCTCCCTTCTCTGAGATAAGAATATTGTGCAACATTATCCACATCACTTCTATACTTCATTCACACCTCTACAGAAGATATATATTAACTTTATTTTCAATATTATACATTTTACTAACATCTTCAATTTTAAGGAAAAGTGGCCCTTTATAGTCTATGAATGTATTATGGGATTTATTTTGGGTATCTCATGCCATTGATTTTTTTTAGATTTTCCAATTTTGAGAAAGGTTATCTCTTTATGCTTATAACTAGATTTTTTTTTCAACTTTCTTAGGGTTCCTAGTTTTTATTTGCAAATTTTGAAAGCTATAGGTGGATGGGTTCTTAAGGGATTGTCCAGTTGTATGTCATATTATGTGAAGGCTAATGGGATTTGTGTTATGGTTGAAATGGTCAGCCAAGCCCAAAGTTTCAAGGGGGGCTATGAGAGAGTGTAAGAAGTAGAGAAAAACTATAAAAAAAGATAATAACAAGATAAAGATTTCTCTAAAGAACTTCAAAAAGAAAAAGTGTTAAAAAGGAAGATGTCAAAGGCAGATAATATGTATGTCCTATTATGTGAAGGCTAATGGTTTTTTTTTTCTTTTTTCTTCAAAAAAAGGTAGGGAATATGTATATCCTATTATGTGAAGGCTAATAGGTTTTGTATTGGGGTTGAAGTGGTTAGTCAAGCCAAGAGCTTCAAGACTAGTTGAGAGAGACGACGAAAGTAGAGAAAAATTTAGAACAAAATATATTAATAGGCTAAAGTTCAATAAAGAAATACAAATAAAGAAAGAGTCAAAAGGATGGATGCTAAAGACATAATTTATTGAGTTTATATTAGCTCAATTATCATTAACATTCAATAAAAATCAAGGTAATTTAGAGTAAATAGAGGGGTTCAAACCAAGTCAAATTCATCTTAATTGATAGTATTTGAAGTTGAACGTGATTCATGTTGATTAAACAAACCTAATAGGAGTTACTCGGACTTAGATATCAAACTAAGTCAAATTCGATCGTATTTAATGTCAATCCAAAATAAGCTCGAATGATATTTGTGGCTAATATTGAGAAAAATATTTCATGAGGATTAAGGTTATCAAAAACACTCATAAAAGTTTGTATGCATTGAAGAACATTGTATGGCTCTCATGAAATCCTGAGAGAATCCATTCATAATAAAAAATGAATGTCCTACTGAGAATCTATCGGTACATGAGCAATTAGACTTTTAGAAAAATATTTTTTATATTTCTTAAGAACTGATGAAAAAAAAATATTATCACAAAAGTGGTTCTTTGCTAGTTGAAGGGAGAGAAGAGTGTATGTCATAATCTCCTTAGGAATATAGGGTTAATCATCTCAAACGGTTGGAATAGTAGGCCTCAAGCTAAGGTAGTTTGGTGCCTAGGAGAGGCCGTAAGTCCATGCTCTAAAGTAGAATGAATTAGCTTATTAGATTATAGAAAGAATTTAGATCCCTTGAATCATCGTCATAAATCATCCTTCTTATTTTGGAAATATATGGAATTCATGTATTCATTAGTTCACTCATTAAGCAAGGACCTTTTTATAACTTCAAAACATTTTATGGCATAGTTCTTAATCTTAGACATTATCCACACTTATTACACCTAAGAGGATGTCTTGCAATGTTGTTTGTAGAAAGACATCAATGCATTACTTAAAATAATGATATAACCCAAGGAGAAATAGACGGGAGAGAAGTTAGCTCTTAATAATTCTCTTAGTGATTTCATCAACAAGATCTGAATAAAACCCCTTTGATAGAAAAGGGTGAGTGGAATCAAGCTACATAGACAATTTAGAGAAAATAAATAAAGATTCAACGGAAAGTTTTGAAATGAAGTAATTTCAACTAAAGTTTCAAGATTGTGTCCCTTGACTCCTTTCACACTCGATCAATACTCCCTTAA